TATAGCCAAATACCCTTTTTGGCCCTGCCCCTCAGCCCCCTGGGGGGTCAGCCACACCATTTGTACAATTTTAAATCCCTGCCTCCCAGGAATGCTTTTGATCAAATATGATTGATATCCAGTGCACAGTTCTACAGAAGAAGTCGTTTGTAGCAATATAGCCAAATTGCCCCCTTTTGGCCCCGCCCCTAAGCCCCCTGGGGAGTCAGCCCCACCATTTGTACAATTTTTAATCACCACCACCTAGGGATGCTCCCAGTCAAATATGGTTGATATCCACTCCTTAGTTTCAGAGAAGAAGTCGCTTAAAGCAATATGGGCAAATTGACCCCTTTTGGCCCCGCCCCTCAGCCCCCTGGGGGGTCAGCCCCACCATTTGTACAATTTTGAATCCTCACCACCTAGGGATGCTTCCAGTCAAATTTAGTTTAATTCCAACCAGTGGTTAAGAAGAAGAAGTTGTTTAAAGAAATTGTTGACGTACGGACGGACGACGCACGGACGATGGACGCCACAGTATGGCATAAGCTCACCTTGGTCCTTCGGACCAGGTGAGCTAAAAATGGAAATATATAACTGTCCAATTCTGTTATAGTGTTTTGCTTAACTTTGTTATGTTATTCTTGATTCCCTTGACTGTTTTCAAATTTCAAAGGACTTTAAGACATTATCATTGTTACAAAATGTTGTACCTTTCTATATCATAAAAAATATCTAATAACACGGAAAATTACTTAAAATATAGCACAAGAGATAGTTTGGCAGCTTGTATATAATTCTTCCACTTCAAACCTAATTTCATTGGTGATCTTACTTGTTGATAAAATCTTCCGTTAGTTTGGCAGTCACCGTTTTCATCTCGCTGTGATGTACTTGTTTCGAAAGCAGTTCATAGAAATACAGACTGAACTGTAACATATATATATAGCGATAATTAGTTTTAATGTCCATGTGACAGTGAAAATATAAATAAAACAAAACCTGAAGAAAAGTATAATCGGCTAGGGCTTTCGCCCATCTTGGGGCTCTTCAGGCGATTTGAATTTATTTGTTACGTCATAAATGAGTACACATACTGAAGACGTCAAAAATAATGACGTCATAAACAAAGTACACATAATGCGAACGTACTTTGTTTATGACATCTTAAGTATGTATTCTCCATTTATGACGTCACAAATAATTTCAAATCACCCGAAGAGCCCAAAGATGGCCGAAAGCGCTAGTCGATTATACTAGCTTTGTGTTTTGTTTTATTTATATATAAATATAAAGATCATTAAAAAACATCAATAGTGATTTGATAAGAGGACTGGTTTTAACTTTCAGTCCAGTGTACCTTTGATAAGAGGACTGGTTTTAACTTTCAGTCAAGTGCATCTTTGATAAGAGGATTGGTATTTACTTTCATTCTAGTGTACCTTTGATAAGAGGACTGGTTTTTACTTTCAGTCCAGTGTACCTTTGATAAGAGGACTGGTTTTAACTTTCAGTCAAGTGCATCTTTGATAAGAGGATTGGTATTTACTTTCAGTCTAGTGTACCTTTGATAAGAGGGCTGGTTTTTACTTTCAGTCCTGTGTACCTTTGATAAGAGGACTGATTTTAACTTTCATTTCAGTTTTAACTTTAATAAGGGGACTGGTTTAACTTTTAGTCAAGTTTACCTTTGATAAGAGGACTGGTTTTAACTTTCATTTCAGTTTTAACTTTAATAAGAGGACTGGTTTTAACTCTCAGCCCAGTTTTGACTTTGATAAGAGGACTGGTTTTAACTTTCCAGTGTAACTTTGATAAGAGGACTGGTTTTAACTTTCATTTCAGTTTTAACTTGAATAAGAGGACTGGTTTTAACTCTCAGCCCAGTTTTGACTTTGATAAGAGGACTGGTTTTAACTTTGTTTAGTTTACCTTTGATAGGAGGACTTGTTTGTACTTAAATATCCAGTTGTAGAGAGCTGGATACGGGTTCTGCTTACTGGAGCCACCAAAAGCTGACTTCTTTACCTAAAAACCCACAATACAATACATTTTATACATAACAGAAAATCAATTTACATATATTATAATACAGAATGTGGGTGTGTATACCCTACAGATTTGCATGTTACTTGTAAAAAAGCAGTGTGGATTAGGATAAGGAAATCTGATACATTAAATACAGTATCCTATATTTATGAGATTGTTAATAAGAAATTCGAAGGAATAGTGTGCAATTGATTTTCCAGGTACCTCCTTTGGTTGGTTTGCACTGGCTCCCCAGCTTGTCAGCTTGCTGTGAGCCTGATGTAGCTGAAGGAGGGAGGGTAGGAACTGCAGCTCCGTCATCAACACCTGTGCTTGAAGCAGGTGTGACATGATTTCACACTCATAGCTAGAAACACAAACAAAAACATTTTTATCAAAGGACAGTAGAAAAAGCACTTATATACACTGTAGTACTACATTGTAAATACAGATACAATTCTGCTGGTTTTTGATAATAATTACATGATGTTAAAGTTGTCATGAACTCAAAAATGATAAAAAAGGATTGGTAAAATAGGATTGGTAAAAGGTAAAATAGGATTGGTAAAATAGGATTGGTATATTGGTAAGTATGGAAATAGTGTACCTTTGATAATTTCTATTCAAAAAGTGAAATATTGCTGAAAATCAGTAGAAGAATTTTTTTTAAATGATTTACAAGATAACGTTTTTGAGAAATATTGAATGGAAAAAGGGGATATGAATAGCCACATCCTACTTCAGATCTAGAATGAATGCATATAACAAACTTAAATAGATATTTGATACATCAAGGGGAATAATTACGTATTTCTGGAACTCACAAGAATTTTGACTTTAGATGACTAAGCAGTGGGTGGTGGAAGTTCCGACTGTTGCTCTGGACAATCTTTGATATGGACACCATCAGTTCGGAGTAGTTTAAAACCTTGTATGTCCCCATCGTACACACCTGCTCATAACTTAACACTGTTAAGGTTGTAACAGACAGTAGATTTACTCTTTTGAAGATATTGTTATCAATAGAATAATAAAAAAAACTGCTTCTATTAGTAAGGGATCATTTTGAATCCCAGAAGAGGACATTTATACTGGTCAATACCCCTTCCTCTATGTAACCTAGCCAGTCAATCACTGATTCACCTTGGTCTTAAGATGCTTCACACAAAAATATGTAAAGTACCCCGCAAAATTTCCTCCATGTTTGTTGATGATGTTGGTTGATGCAAGATCATGTATGAATGTGGTGAGCTGTGTTTCACAGGATCTGGAGGATCTAAAGCCGTGTTGTAGGTCATATAATATGTTGTTGTTCTCCAGATGTGTCATTGTGGCCCTTGTTATGATGTGTTCCATGAGTTTACATGTGATGCAGGTTGGCGATATTGGTCTGTAATTTGCTGGGTTGTACTTGTCTCCTTTTTTGTAGATTGGGTTTACGTTTGCATGTTTCCAATCTAATGGTAGTGTTCCTGTAGTGAGTGAGCGGGTGAAGACTTTTGTGAGAATGGGTGCTGTGATGTCACTTAATTCTTTCAGTATTCTGCCGTGTATATTGTCAGGTCCTGTTGCTTTATGTGGGTTGATGTTGTTGAGTAGTTTATAGATGCCTTATTCTGTAATGTGTATTTCTGGCATGAGAGGGTGTGGGGAAGGTCCTTTGTCTGGTATGGGGCAGTCCTGTTCTGTGGTGAAGGCAGATTCAAATTGTTCATTTAGTATGTTTGCCTTGAATGTAGTGTCAGTTTTCAGTTGTCCGTCTTTACGTAATGCGGTTATGTCAGCGTTTTCTTTTCTTGTGGTTTTTATGTAGGAGAATAGTTTTTTACAATTGATTTTTTTGCTAGGCGAGGGTGTGCTGGGTTTGTCTATTGGTAGGTCTTTTTTCATTTTTTCTTTGTGGTTAAGATATGCGTTGCGTGTTTGTTTTTGCAGTTCTGATTTTGCTGATTTGTATTTCTGTATAAGTTCATGTTTTGTTTTGCTTTCGTGTGTAATTGTTTACATTTTCTCATGAGTCAAAGGAGAGAATGTGTTATCCAAGGGATTTTGGATTTGTATCTTTCGCTGTAATATACATTGTTGTAAGCTTTTAAGCTTTTGGAGATGTATGTATACCTCTTTTCCCACAAGACCTCACTCTCCTTCCCCCATGAAAACCACCATTTCCACTTATACATATGGAATACTTTGTCAGGGTTGCTTCATACCAAATTGTGAAAAATTATTTCAGCTGTTCATGAAGAGTACTTTTTAAACGATAATAAGTCAACAGACAAAAATGGACAACAGTCACTGCATATTCTTGCTATTTTAAATATGGGTCCTATTAATGTATGAATGAAATGCTATTATCATCTAAGTCCACAGGATATCAAATAATAAACCAATCACTCTATAAAAAGATTGTTCATTTTTCATTTTGTATATGGTTTGCTAGTACATCAAAGTGTATACAGAGAACTGCCATCAGAGTTCTTTGCAAAAATGTTGGTCAAGAAACACATGTGGAAATATGGTCTGTATTTAGTGAAAGACTTTTTAAATATCTTTCAAAAAGATACTTAATAACAATTTTCCCCCTGATCTGGAAAATTAAATAAAGAAATAAAACGAACAAACAAATTTGAAATAAAGCCACCCCCTAAATACTGTGAATTTTTCAATAAGGATACAACTCCATTGTCTTCTGTCTGGCCAGGACAAAATGTCCAAGCTGACCACACAGGTGAGCAATCAGTTGTTCAAACTCCACAGATGGGTGGGGAAGGCCAAAGTGCACCAGTTGATCCTGATTCCGTACATTATCCTCCACCTTACGAAATTCCTGTGCCAGTGAGTGGTACACACTCTTCAGTGTCTGTAAAATAACAACGTTTCACAATTTTTGTCAACATTTTATGACACCTAATTCTGATGAAAAGAAACCTTATGCCACAGGGGCCTGAATAAGTCATTTTGCATTATACCTAAAGAATGCACTGACATAGATTTTTTCTGATAAAACATTTTGTAATTCAATCAAGATGTTCAATTTATTTTAAAAGCTATCTTAATAAAAACTCACATCCTTTGAACGAGTGAAGAAACCCTTGTGCTCCAGAAATGCCAGTGACATATAGCCTTTTTCTGCCGTAGCAAACTGGGTCAGTGAATACATAAACAGTCCCCATGACGATGCAAATGCTGCTTTGTGGTTGTCTTTTTCTTTATCCTGTAAAAGGAATTTTTTTTAAATCATGATCTGTTTAGAACCAAGAAAGCAACTTTTTTTCCTGAAATAAAATGTGTTTATATATACCCATTGGTAAAAATAACACTTTTAAAAGACATCTTTTTAGCTGCTCTCTCAAATGAAATCATCTGAGCTTATAGAAAATAAGAATGGTTTAGCAAAGTCACAGGTTGAAAATGTTCGACTTTGGAGTCCAAAATTTAGAGTCTCCCTCGAAAACAGGGAGAGTTGGCAAGTATGCATGATGTTTCCAAATGATAATGTTTATACAGTAAACTTAATTATGGGTGCTGGGAGTTAAAAAAAATACAACAAAATCAGTTTTCGTAAATTGAGCTGGTCTTTAAATATTTCTATGGCAATTCAAAATCTCCTGGACTCGATGGTAAACACACACATTTCTGAAATAAAATGGTAAAGAAACATAAAAACTTCACAGAGTGGAAAATGCACATCATTTATATCAAATGTGTAAACACATACTACTGATACATATTGGTAAACACAAAGGACTGATATCAGATGATAAAGCATACACACGACTAATATCAGATGATAAAGCACACACACGACTAATATCAAATGGCTAACATATATATGTACACTTATATAAGGGTTGATACAACAACACAGCATACATGATATATGTCATGTATTGTTATAGTTATTGTTATTCAGGCAAGTTTTATCCCTTAAATAACGAGTATTAGACATAAGCTGGTGTGGGTGTGGGTGTGCATGAGTGTGAGAGGTAACGAATCACAACATTTTATATATTTAAGCATTGTACATATCTACCGGAATTAGAAGAAGACTGATATAGGCAAAGCCTGTTGTCTTATTCTTTTGTCAATACTGTTCTAATATCTTCTTTAATGTTAACTTATATGTTTGTATTATATATGTATTGTCAATAAAATACTTTTGAAATCAAATATATGTCACCTTTTACAATGTGGTACATGGACATAAATATACATCAAATATTGTTGATTTTGTCTGAAAAGTAACTTCTGAATGCAGAATTTGAGTGGCGCAGAACTGCAATTGTACTACTTACTGCTAATTCACGAGCTTTCTCATAGGAAAACTGGCTGATGAGCCTGAAAAAGTTCTCGAGAAATGTTTCTTCTTTTGCTCCTAATGGAGACAGGGGTGACAGGTGCCCAAGATTGGATGTTGCCATGTTTTTTCACCATACAAAACCCTAAAATAAATGAGATTGTATAGAAAATGAAACCACAGATAATATGTACGTCCGAAACGTGGGTACACTGCAATTGTGTCTGTCCCCGTGTTTACAAATATGTGGACTTGATATCGATATGTATTAGTTTGTTAAAATTGATATATGTATACTCACTATTCGGTTATACATGAATTTACACTGCAAATTGTGACCAATGCTGATTGTTTCGCAGATTGTTTCATCGTCTGTGATATCTACTTTCATTTAGAATTTGACCTACATCCGGGGATTTTACGAAAATCTATTTCCGGTATATATATATTAGCGACGAAAAGTGGTACTAAATCCCGACATACCGATATGTACAACACTTAGCCATACCTCAGAACTTTTTATTCTTTGGTTACAACAGGGGCGTTTACTGCCCTTTGTGCACGCGATTATCTTAACCAGTCTTTAATACAAAAATACATTATGCTACCAAATTGTCCACGCTGCTTCGTCAACCAATGATTATCTTATATATCTATTTACAATATATACGTACAACCATCTTTTATTTTATTTATTTATTTTAAAGTGTTTTTTACATATACAAAAAAATGCACGTTCTCTCACACTCACATCTACACGTTTTAAAATAACACTGTCATCCTTCACCTGATTTCATCATCACCATCATCATCATCCTGCAAAATATATGAATATCATCATACACCCTACTCTAACATCATCGTCATCACATCACTGTCATCATCATCGATAGCGACATATTGGCGTTGTCATCATCTTCATTAAATACTATCATTAACTCATGATCATCATCATCTTACCTCCTCATCAACAATACATCATTATCCTCCACACTGTATGATTGCCATTATGATCATATACCATCATCTCAAGTCCTCATCAGTAACATATTGATCAGCATCCTCTACAATATGTGATCATCCTCATTATCATCATCATCATCACTGACTATCATTTATAGAAACACCTCCATGTATAGTAAAGATAGTTTGCTTACTCTTTACATTCCCATAAACAATGTACTATAGTTTCATGCTCCATATTACACAAGGTACATACAGGAGTTTGACTTAATTTGACTTTGTTACTAAAATACGGTGTATAATTCGAACTTGGAACCATTGTAATTTTGAATTTTTCGTGACTACAAAAGGTAATTTAAATATTTTTGTCCTTTTCTCTTTATCTATATTATACTCCTGATTCTATTTTCTGGTTCCAGTAGGCAGTGTCACTGGAGCGATAATAATATTATAAAAATCTTTAGAACCTTTCTTACTCTTAAAGAATATATCAAATAGTAGTGGTATACTAGGCTGGGAAGGTCTTCCCTTAGGAAATCATGTCTTCTTAAAAAGCGTTGGATAGCAGATACCAATCCATGATATTGCAGAAAGTTTGTATTGATTTGAAAACTATATAGAAACTCGTCAAATGAAAAAAGGTAAAATTATCCGAATTTTTAATTAGGTCATTCAATGTAAACTCACCTTCCTTAAACCAGTTTGAATAGGAAACAAACTAAATAATTTTATCTCCGGAGACCACAACATAACCTATATATGTAATCAATGAAGAAAAGAAATTGAGAATGCGTAACAAGAATAAGAAGAAACATTATACATATATAAGTTATGTTGTAGTCTCCGGAGATAAAATGATTTACACAGAACTCTTCTGGATTACTGTACAGTTTTCTTCCTCTCATGTTGGAGTGTATTCCTCGGCGTTTGCTATTTACAGATTTAAAACATTTTTACCACATTTGTTTACCACTTGTACACGTTTTCTCTTATGCTATCACTTGGTTTTTTTGTCCTTTACCTACTTGTTTGCTGACACTGATCAAGTTGAAGTACATGTATATAAACGTAGCTCACATACACGTCGGGTTAAACTTTATTGGTAAGTCTTTCCAATGCCTGTTCAATCTACTTTTGAATTGATTGACCTTTTCACTGTTTACCAGATCTCCTGGTAGACTGTTCCAATCGTTCATTATTCTCACGTTGAAGCAGTGCGTTCGAATGTTTAGTCTATTCCTTTCACTTTTCGGAAAGTTTGTATCATGTCTGCTTTTTTTTCTCCGATATTGTAGGAATGGAATTCCAATATATTTCAATCTTTCTGGATATGGCAGGTGTGTTAGTCCTTGTACTAGTTTGGTTGCTCTCCGTTGTACTTTTTCTATCATGACATTATAATATACAACATTTGATATAGCGCCCTATCTAGCGAACATAAGCCACTCTAAAGCGCTTTACAGTACAAAGATATTCAATTAATACAATTAGGATATAGATTTTTTTTAAAGGAATTCGCAGGAGCGCTAACTACTAGTCCTATGCCACCTGGCTAAAATCTCCCTATGTGTGTATGCCTGCGTGTGTGCTGGAGATGTATTGTGTATAGTATTAGTTGTATTATCTTTCTGACGCATTGGATTCCACACACTCACTACGTATCCCATGTGTGGTCGAATTAATGATTTATACAGAGAGAGGAACATGTCTTTATCCGTATGTCTGAATGTTCTCTTCATCAGTCACGTAAATCGATTTGCTATTTTGACAGAATTTCCAACATATTTATCAAATTTTAAGGGTGTGTCAATTAACACTCCCGAGATCTTTTTCTTCGTTCGCTTGTGATATAACTCCTTCTCCTAATGAATATACCTATTTCCAAAATGCAAACTTTTGCATTTGCCTTTTTTGTGTATTGGCATGATATTGGCATGTTTCCAAATTTGGGGTATTATTCCTTCTTCCAAAGATTTGTTGTGGATGATTGATAAGGGTTCCGAAATGATTAATTTTGTCTCTTTGAACACAATTGGGTGAATGTTACCAGTCCCGGTGATTTTGTTGGATCAGATTGAAGCAGTTTGTTTGATATAGTGTCTTGGGTTATGACGAAATCTTCCATAGTACTGATGGGGGGATCTAGTTGTGGGATATTTCCATAGTGAAGAAACTTGAGAAGAAGTCAATAAGTGCTATGGCTATTTCTCCGTCTGTGGTTGTTGTGTCTCCGTTACTCAACTCAATTGAATGTATCCCTGATCGCGTTTTGGTTTTACAAAGTGCCAGAAACGTTTCGGGTTGGTTTTGCTCTCCGTTGCCACCTTTTTTTCGTAATCTTTAATTGCCTGTCTCTTGATCATGTTTGTGTTGTCCCCTTCTATGATGTAAGCCTCCACGTTTTGTTCCGTTTGTATCTATACCATGCTCTGTTGTTTTTTTTGCGTTTGCTGCATTGCGAACTCTCTCATCCATCCACAGTTTCCTACTCCTGCCTGGCTTATTTCTGCTCACTGGTATATATGTCGTGATGCTTCTATGTAGGAATTCTGCAAAAATAACCCAGGATTCGTTCACTGATTTTCCGGAGAGCGTTTGATCAAAATTTATCGATGTTTTAAAACTCTTCATTGATTTTCTTGTAATCATTGTAGTTTATTATTTATAATAAACTTTGTTTGTAAACAGCCATTTGTTTATATGTCATGTGCAACATTGTTGATTTCTAATTATTTATGTTTGTTAGCTATATATATACATGTATATAGAGATACATGTGGATAACTATCATATATATATATATTGTAGTAGTACCATCATGTGTACCAACATTTAGGNCTCTGAAATATGCTGGTCAATTAGATAGTTCAGGTTTGATTGGACTGTCTATGTTTACTTTGAATGTTAGCTGAATGTGGTCACTTTTTCCAATAGGCCGATTGTATGTGATATCTTCTATAGACCCCTCTTCCTTTGTTAATATCAGTTCCAGAATATTTGGTCTGTTTCCTATACGATATCTTGTTGGCTCTTTTTATGTTGGTAAAGAAAATTGTCGTGGAGACAGTCTAGAAAAGTTGTATTTGAATTTGGGTTGTCTAGTATTGTCTCATCGTCCCAGTCTACATTTGGGTAGTTAAAATCACCTATAATTATTACGTCACGATCCATATCCATAGCTCTTTTGATTAGGTTGTTTAGTTTTTCGGAGTTCGCAATGGTGCTTGAAGGGCTTCTATAGATGTATTCAATGATAAATTTCTGACTGTTTTCCTGTTCAATATTACACCAAAGTTGTTCTTCAAAGGCCTCGTTTTCCATTAATACTTCCCATGCTTTAAGTTTGTATATTAAAATACCTCGTCCAGTGTTTAATGCGTTATTAAAAAATTGGAAGTTTGTAAGGTTAAATTTAGCTGACTGTAGGTTTCCCGGATTGTTTTTTGGGATAATTTCTGTTAAACATATAATGTCTGGGTTTTTCAATTTCAATTTCATTCTCTAGCTTTTTGCTTTTTTTGAGGAGTGAGTCCACATTTGAGTACAGTACTTTAAGGTGAGTTTTACTACTCTGGACAACTTGCGAATTTGGTGAAATATCACTAAAAACAACATCCTAGTATACATTATTCGTCCTTTCGACGTTTTCTGTTTGGCCTTTATGTTCCTCCATAGCATTTTCTTCCAGACTGAGTATCGTTGCTAATCTCTGTAAACATAACTTTGATTGCCAGTCCGTATTGTTATTTATTTTATAGTGTTCGAGGTGGAGCAATCGCCACTCTCAGAGTTTGTTTGTTTACTGTTGACGTGTGGGACCGGTGTTGATGTTCCCGATATGCCTGGTGTTGTAATTCGGTCCTTTATTCTTAAGTTGTTAGCTTTTTATTTTAATTCCTGTAGTGTGCAGCTTGCTGTTTTACTAAGTACTCAACTTTTAATGAACTATGATCCAGTGAACTATATTGATGCGAGAACTATCAGATATATTTAGCTTCTGGTTGCTCTTGTGTGTGCATTGCTTGTGTAACAGGGTGTACTCATTGCACTAAGTCACACAGTGTCCATGTGTTGTCTGTCCCGTACTCGTGTCATAACCTGAACGTGGAGTGTTGTGAGAGAGTGATCTGCACGAGTATTTACATACTCACGCCAGCCCGTGTGTCGTATATGTACGCGCACGTCACCACCCTCATTCACTTCACACTATGCTGCCGAGCAGGACGGACAGTGTCTATCCTTCCCAGCTCCCTGGTAAGTCTCATAGTATTTTACTCATAGTGTTTATTCATGTAATGATATAATAATACCTGTGATAATATATATGTAGTCATGTCCATCGTATTCGTAAAGTGAATGTATATGTGAATGTGGTGCGGCGTCAGTCGTCTGTCCGTCGTCCGGCGTCAATATTTTACTTTAAACGACTTCTTCTAAATAACCGAAAGGCC